AAAGTAACTTTCTCTAAGTCATAGAGATGATGAGTATCATGGTTCAGTATGAGGTCTGACAGCAGGCTGCAAAGTTCATGCTTTAGATTCGATGCTGATTTGCACATCAACTGATGGAAGAACTCATGCGTATTTATGTTTTAAGTTAAAACAATGTATATTTTTGTGTTTTTTATGATTTACCACTTTAATCATCCTTTTGAATTATCTCATCAAGTACTGCCCTAAGATGGTTTTTTAAGAAGATTGACTTACTCAGTTAAAACTTACATAGCTTTCTGAACCCAGGTATAATAAAAAATGCAACCTTATGTGCAGATTATCTTTTCATAAAACAAAATAGCGAAAGCCATCTAATGTGAACTTATAATTTCTCTTTGAACTATAAAATTGATTGTCATATAAAACCATTCAAAAATCTAAGAAATTGAATGCTGTGACTAAATGGGATTCACTTTACTTTTCATATATCGCTAGCAGATGAGAGACATTCTTCTGTGTCAATAGGAATTAATCCCTTCATACAAAGATAGTTTGCCCACTTACCTAACACCCACTTACCTAACAAGGGATATTTATTTAAGCATCTTCTATGTGCCAGGGATTTTCACAGAGATTATGACCTTAGTCCTCACCTTTGTCCTAACTGAATCTGTAGTCTAGAGGATATATACTCATAAATGATAATGCACCAGGGTAACTGTAATCTGTAAAGGCAGGTGAAGCTAAACCTGCTCACAGAAATGGAGGATAGAGACAAGAACATTTCACAGGAGAAATGGCACAAATGGTACACCATGCAGGGTGGGACAGAGAGGAATTACTTCAATGCAGTGAGTGAGACAAGCAAATGTTGGTCATGAAAATATATACATCTTCTGGAAGAAAAATAAAGCAAGACCTGAAATAGTTTGGTGTCAGATGATGAACTCCTCTACTGCAAAGAAACGGAAAGACTGGGATACCTGGGAGTAGAGTGGATGATGTGCACTGATGACATATGAACAAATGTTTAAAAAGTAATGTGGAAGATGCCTTGCTGTGTGGAAGGCAGAGGGCCGCAGGTAGCATGGAGAGGACTACATTTTCCATGGGTGGCACATGACAAGCAATGTAGCAGGGAGCAAATAGCAGAACTTCTCGGAGCCCTACAACCACTGATGTTGCCCCCCTGTTTTGCCAAACTTAGAATTCTATCTGTTGGGATCTAGAGTGACTATAGCCTGGGAGGCTACCATGAGCAACGGCTGTGAGCACAGGGTTTGGGTGAAGATATACCTGGTCTTGAATTCCATAACTTTTACTTTCTAGATGTGTATATTAGGCATAATACTGGTGCCAAGGGCTGGAGCCTAGAAAATATGCATAATGATCAAATCCATATTAAAAGTTTGCTGCTCAATTTCAATAAAATTTTATTTATAATGAAAGCTTGAAGCAGAAAATAAGGAGACCATCTGCTTCAGTTTTGACAATCAGGGAAGGCCTCTCTGAAAGGGACAGTATAAGCCCAGGAATAATCATGTGAGCATCCTGCCAGGTGCTGGGTCCTTGAAGTGTTCAGCGTTAGAACATGTGCTAAAATACAAAGTGCTCTTGTCTTCATTCATATTCTTCCAACTCATTTATTTGATATCATTTGAAGTTTTTTAAAAATGAGAAGATTCTAAATATCTAAGCTCATTTGAGCAATGGACACATTGAAAATTTTGCAACTGGAATCTGCTGTTTCTTCTGATCTGTATCCTATCCCACGGATACACTTTCCTTTCTTGAGTCCTGTTTTTATAGGAAGTTCTAGAAATGTTAAGAAACAAATCAAAAGGCAATTGTACATTTGGAAGAACATACACATTTTCACTATGTGAAAGATAAATGCAATGTGTCTTCCTTTGATCAGAGAGGAGCCTCTGAAGAATTAATTCCACAGTAGGCACAGAGGGATAATTCATTCAGATCTTTGAATCTCATCCTGACTTTTAATATGATGCATGTTCCTCTGATGTTTTAAAGATCACTAGTCATTACATTTTCTTAATTTGTCATTTGATAGATTCAAAAGACCCTAAACAAGCATCTGTGATTCAAAAGAATGATTCTTTCATTTCTGGCCTCCACTCCTTTCCGTCAATGTAGCAGTGTCCCAGCTGATGTCAAACCAAGAATCCATTTGAATATTTGTGAAACTGCTTGGATGTTCTCTCTGGCTTATTTTTCATGAGTTGTTCAAAGGTTGTCAGGAGTGTTTTCAAAATTAGTAGGAAGACACAGAGGGAGATATATGTGCAAACGTGTGGGATACAGAGAGTGCGTAGGGGGAGCAGAGAGAGAAAGAGGTGCAGACAGAGAACAGGGAAGTGAGGGAATGCTTTTGACTGCTCACAATGGGTGACTGCTTTGGAGAGAGCTCTGTAGCAAGAGGGGTTGTACTGGGCTCCCCAGAGAATTGGCTCATGACTTTCTGGAGACTGAGAGGTTCCATGAACTGCTCTCTGCAAGATGGAGACTCAGGAAAGCCAGTGGTATATAATTCAGTCTGAGACCAAAGGCCTGAGCAGATGAGACGAGATACCCAACTCGGGCAGGCGGGCAGGAAGCAGAAATCCTCTTTCCTTTGCCTTGTGCTCTGGTCACACCCTCAATGGATTAGATGATGCGCGCCCACCCAGCTTGGGGAAGGCGATCTACCGAGCCTACTGATTCAAAGGCTAATGGAATCTAGAAACACCCTCACAATACACCAGGAATAATGTTTAAACCAGGCACCTCATGGCCAATCAAGTTGCCACATAAAATTAACCATAGTGGTGTTTGTATCAAAGCTAAGAAGTTATCTTACTAATAGCAATTAAACAACAATGACAAAATATTTTCAGTATTTGTTATAGTGAGGATTATAGGGACAAGGGAGGTGTCAATTTTGGTAGAGGTCAGTTCTTCCTTTCTCCATCTCAGACACATTGCTTTCGTGGTTCATGAATTTTGGTGGTCTGAGGAACTCTAAGTTTCTAGCAGAGGCAGAGTAAGGTATTTTGATGCAAAAGCCAGAGGAGATGAAACTGTGGAAATTTCTGGAAACACAGAGAAGGTTATGTGAAACAACCAAGACTCACTGCTGCTCAGTTCCTGTAGTTATAAAATGTGGAATCTAAAAGTCCCGTAAGTAGTACATCGATATTCATGTAAGCGCTGCCACCCCTTAGGTCAATGGTAGGATTTTAAAGGAACAAACACATTTCCAAGACCTTGGTTTGGGTCACTGGGATCCCAGACTACACCATCACACCCAAGAGTAAATAGGGGACATGGAGAAACATTTCAGTTAGTTGATGACAGCAACAAAAACCAGTGAGCTGATTCACTGAAATTCCCACATAGATTTTTTGACTTTTTACAGATTCAGTCAGACTTAAAAAATAGAACATGACCAGGCTCTCTTTCTTGTTGAGTTATAGAGATGGTTCCAATACTGTTTTCTAATGCAAAATGGTAGGACCTCATCTTTGTATACTATTTTACTCTTATCTTATTAAAGCCACAAATTTTAAGATCACCAATTATTTCGAGGACACTTTGAGGTAACTTATACTTCTGACTTCCTTGAAATAATTGGGTCAACTTGCATTACTACATTTCTATTCAAGATGCTACCTTAGTACTGTCACATGTTCAGAAATCAAATATTCACGCATTAGTGGCATACATGCAAAAAACAAACGAACATTTAAAAAACCTGCATAAATCAAGTCGGTTGTGAACGAGTCTATTTTTCAAAAATGTGCTCAATATTATTTGCCATTACACATTCACTTCAAGAAACTTGCCATTCTTCCATCGAATGTTAAAATCTATGTCTCCTCCCTTTGAATCTTGTGGGTCTTTGTGGTTGCTACAAGTAATAAGAAAATAAATGATATTATGCAACTGACATTAGACTATAAAATAGGATAGAGCTTTTCTCTTGGTGTCTTTATTCATTGTGAAATTCAAGACACATGGAGAAACCCAGGTAGAGATGAACTGAAATCTCAGTCCCCATTTAGCTGATCTCCTGGTTAACAGCCAGCCAAAACTTGCCAGCCATCTGTCAATGGATGCTCTGGCCTTTGGGGAAGTTGCACAGCTGATGTTTCATGGAACCATTCAGTCCCCCCAAATTAAATATTCATGAATAAAATAACTAGCAGTTGTTTTGAAGACCCTGAGTTTTGGAGTGGTTTATGTTAAAGCAATAAAGAACAATAACATGAAATGTTAAAAGAATTTAAGTTATCAAAAACTGATAAAATAGGCAAAAAAGGACTGTAGTTTCTTCAGCTGCTGTAATAGAACATTGTATAACAGACTTCAAAAGGATTATTTAATTTTCTAGCTAATCTTTATTTGGCTTACCATGCACACTTGATTAAGACATAGGCTGTATAGTGATATGTCAGCTTGTATGCTTTTCCTTTAGCAGAGATACAAATGCCTCCTATCCTATAGAAAAAATAACCACAAAGGTTACATTTTTATTGCCCTATAGGGTATTAACCAGTTTTTGATCTATCAGCAAACTCATTTCTGTATGGCTTTAACCATTTGAATATCAATACTCAGTCTTTTAAGGTGTCTTTGAACTATATTTACCATCCTATTTATTATCTCACTAATGCACTAATAACATCTTTGATATATGTTTATATTAGAATGATATTCATGTCTTTAACTTTTGTGAAAAACATATTTTGATATGGATAAACTAAATAGTTTCAGTTGAGGGGAGTTGGTGATGTCAGTGAAAATGACAGAGTTAGGACCTCCAAAAATCCTCCCCAGTGTAAGAGCAACAAGAAAACTGGCAAAAATGGTCAGAATAAACATTTTAGAACTCTGGGGAGTAACAAAATGCTTACAGCAGTCTGGGGAGTGTTTATTCAAGTGAAAATGATTGAATTTTGGTAATAACAGCGAGCCTCATGGCAGTTTTACTTACGCTATTTCCACTCTCCTTTCTCCAGCTCTACAGTAGCCTTGAAAGCCAACGGCTACAGTTACGCTGAGAGCAAGTTGCCTATCAGCCACCAGAAGGGGCCGAGCAAAGTTGGATATCCTTTAAAACCTCATTCCAAGAAAAGTATCATTTGACCTGTCTGGGTCCCCAAAGATTTCACTTGCAAGGATGTTTTTATTTGAGCTGACTTAGAGCTCACCCGGTGGAAAAGTGTTTTCTCTTGGGACATTTGCCAAAAATAATTAGAGAAAATTGATTATTTTTAGCAGCCCAAGGTAGTAGACAGTTGAGGAAAACAATAGGATAACAAAAAAGCTTAAAAAGCAAAACTGGAGAATGAGAGGTCCATAGGTCTTTGCAAAACTCTGATATATTACTGGGAATCTAGAAGCCCCCCAGCTTGCATAGAGCTGTACACATATCATAAAAGACTTGGGAAGGTGCTAATCTCTTACTTCTAGCTGACCTTGAGGCCCAAGGGAAGCAAGAACTGAAGGAAATGTGTCAACTGACTGGTTGAGTGTTGAAGCCATGCTCATGATATCCAAAGAACACTGGCTAAACTGGGAGATGAATAGTTCCAAGCAGGTACAGAAATATTTGGCCAATGATTAGCTGACCAGCACGTTAAGTAATCAGAGGCTTCAGCGAGTATATATGACAAAAAGTACAAACTTTATGGTTAGTTCTGAAAAGTCATTACATGAATACCATCACTATTGACAATAAATCCTGGGAATGAGAGGAACCTAATTTCCAGACCTGTCACATTATATTATTTAAAATGCCCAATTCTCAACAACAAAAAAAATTATGAGCCATGCAAGGAAATAAGAAAGTATGCCCATATGCAGAAATTAAAGCAATCAATAGGAATTCTCCCTGTGGAAGCCTAAACATTAGATGTACCAAAGACTTTAAATCAGCTGTGTTAAATATGTCCAAAGAGCTAAACAAAATCGTCTCTAAAGAGGTAAAGGACACAGTGAGAATGATGTTTCACCATATAAAGAATATCAATACAGAAATAGAAATTATAAAAAGGAGGCAGATAGAAATTCTGGAGTTGAATTATACAATAATTACAAAGAAAAAAATATAGTAGAGAGGCTCAACAGCAGATTTAAGTCTGTAGAAAATTAACCCATAAACTTGAAGGCAGGTCCATTGAGGTCATTTAGTTTGAGGACAGAAAGTTAAAAGGATGAAATAAAATGAACAGAAAACTTCTGAGACCATTGGACATTATCAAGGAGCCTATAAATAAAATGCATGTCTGCCAATTTTCTGTTGTTCTCCTAATGGGAGTCTAAGAAGAAGATGAGAGAGAGAAAATGGAGAAAAAATATTTGAAGAAACTCAACTTTTCAAATTTGAAAAAAAATAGAAATCTATACCGCTAAGTAGTTCAACAAACTGGAAGCAGGATAAACTCAAACAGATCCACATTTAGACACATTATAACCAAGCTGCTAAAAGACGAAGACAAGAAAGGCATCTTGAAAGCAGCCAGAGAGAAGATACCATCATTCACGAGAGCTCTTTAACAGCTAGTGACTCACCAGAAACTACAGAGCCAGAGGGCAAGGGGGGTACATATTCAAACTAATAAAGGAAATATTAAAATATTAAAGAGTGTCCTTTTGGCCTAAAGAAATGGACAGTAGAATACTAGACAGTAACTCAACTACACAGAAAGAAATAAAGAGAACCATTCATCGTTAACTACATAGGTAAATAGAGAAGTTGATATGAATATCTTTTGTTTGACTCTTTCTTCCAACTTTATTGAAGAGATGACTTCATAAAGTAATGATTATAAATTATGTTGATGTGTTTGTGGACACAATGCAAAATATGTAATTTGTATGAGAAGATGAGAACAGTCTTTAATTTACCATTGAAATTAAGTTGTTATTAATCCAAAATGGATTGTTACATATTAAAATGTATGTTGTAATCTCCATGGCAATCACTAAGAAAACAACTCCAAAATATAATGAAAGAAATGACAAGGGAATCATAATGGCACACTCCAAAATGTTTGTTTAACACCACAGAATACAACAAAGGAACAATCTATAAACAAAAGATTTAATAGTAAAATGACAGACATAATTTTATCAGGAATTATAAATGTAAATGGACTAGAAATACCAACCAATACCAAGCCCCCACAAATATCAAAATTAAATAAACAATATATGGTTGAGAATTTTGAGGATACTGATCTAATTTTGAAATTTCACTGGCTAGATTATAGGTGCTATAAACTCTTAAACAATTGCATAATAATTCTAGAAACATGGCACAAAACTCATAATGTAGATACAATGATGGATATTTTGTTATTCTAGAATAATACAGTCTTTCCTTCTTTGTTTTTATCACTTTTATAATTAACTCCTAGCTACCAACTATAGAGAGGAAAAAATAAAGAAGAAAATAATGGAAATTGTATTCATGTGATAGAGAATAAACCTAAGAAGGGATGATCATTTTTCTATAAGCAAGATGCCATTTTCCTAGACTGGAATATTTAATGTAGATAATCATTTAAAGCCTTTGCTAAAGGACACATTTGAAACTAAAGCTTAGATATATAATTTTGATGAAATATATAATAAGTTTAAATATAATTCATAAATACATATGAGTACTTGTATGTATATATATATATTTAATACGTCTAACAGAGTGCCATGCACCAGTTACCAATGTCAAAGGAGGATGCCAGCTACATGGAAGACAGCAAAGATCAATACTATGCTAACCACCTGGAATAAAAGTCCAAACACTTCTGCCCATTGCATCTTGGTATCAGAGTTGCCAAGGAAAACACAACACAGTCAGACATTGGATGAGCAATATTTTCTTCACAAACAGAAGAGACACAGAAAGACCAGCTTCAGTAGTGGGCATCAGTCCGCCGTGGCCAGGGTCTTTCCTGATGGCTGATGCAAGGCAACTGGCCTACATCCCTTTATGCTATAGTGTGAGGGCCCTGCCCCTCCCCGTGGAATACAGAGGTAGCAGTGGGGTTGGCTGGGTGCCACATGATGAACATGCTTTAAATAGGCATAAATGAGTATTCATGAAGCTTGAAACATGATACTCCCACACAAAGTGATAAACACACACGTTGTAGGGGTCTTTATGCCCTGGTAAGGAAGTGTTTCTGTCTCAAAGCCCATTCTTAAGCAGCTGAGTGGAGCCTGAAAACCTGCATGCATGAGATGGCCTTTCCCAGCATCATAAATATGAACATATATTTGATTTATATTTTATAGAAGTATTTATATTTTAATATGTCATATATATCACATGCTTATCATATATAACATATATAGTGAATATATAAGCAAATATCACAATGCTGTTAATTCTATGCAATAGCTTTGGTAACATCTTCTGCTGGGCATGACTGGAGAAATACGTCTGGGTGTTTGCAGAGCCTCATCTCCATCACCAGGCTCCTCAAGGTTCTCATCTAAGCCCCCCAATATCAACCTTTCTTCATAGCCTCCTCAGTCAGCTTACACTAGCTGAACACCATGTTCTCTTGGCATGAATTTTAAATGCTAAATTGTGGAAGGAAGGAAACCAATTACATGTCCTATGCACCAAGCACCAGTATACTGAGTTCAAAATATATTTAGTTATTAAATTGAAATTACTTAATTTTTATCATCCTATGTTTTGTTTTGTTGTTGCTGTGGGGTTTTTTGTTTGCTTATTTTGCTGTTGACACAGCATTTTGTAGATCTTCTAAGTAGAGAAGGACTTATGCTAGTGTGTGTTTGCCAACAACATTCTTCTCTAAGATGTGTCAATGGGGGATACACTACAGTGTGTCAAAAAGCTAAAAAAGCACTATTGAAAAGAACTTTACAGAGGGGACTCATATTAGCCTGAAATATTAACTTGTTCCCCTTCCCATAGCTTAGAGATGTAGTTAAACAACCTGGCCATGTGTTGTGGCAGAATTGGTGGCCCTGCCCTTCCAGTAAATAAAAATGCAAACAGCATTTGGACATTTAGTTATACATTTACAAATATACTGCCAGCAGTTCAAATACCATCTCTTAGTAAATATTAATCCTTTCATCATTACATAAGTATGTAAGTAGAATGTCTGATATTTTCTTCCAGAGCACCAATACATTTCCTGGAACATGAGCCCTGACGTGGAGACCATTTCTTGCTGGCTGTTTTTACAATATCTGTATCACCGGTGAATAAAAATATCTCTTATTTCTCATCATATGTGAATTAACCAATAAATGTTCTGTTCCTTTAAAATACTAATGAATTCCCAATTTACACAGGGATCGCAATGATTTTGGACCACATTTCCCTATATAAACAACTGATTTAGTCTATAATCAGTATCATTGTTTACCTTATAGAAATAACATATGAGAAAGATGCCCACTCTCACCACTTTTATTCAACATAGTACTAGAGGTCCTAACCACGGTATTAAGACAGCACAAAGAAATAAAAGGCATCCAGATTGGTAAGGAAGTATTTAAAGTGTCACTGCTCACAGATGACATGATACAGCACATAAAAATCACTAAGGAATCTACCCAAAAACTACTAGAATGGATAACTGAATTCAGCAAAGTTGCAGAGTACAAAATTAATACATAGAAATCTGTTGCATTCCTGTATACTAATGGTGAACTAGGAAAAAGAGAAATCAGGAAAACAATTTCATTTACAATGTCATCAAAAAGAATAAAATACATAGGAATAAACCTAACCAAGGAGGTGAAAGACCTATACCCTGTAAACTACAAGATACTCATTAGGGAAATTAAAGAAAATACCAATAAATGGAAATACATCCTATGCTCATGTATAGAAAGAATTAATATTGTCAGAATGGCCACCCTGCCTCAAGCAATCTATAGACTTAATGCAATCCCTATCAAAATACCAACAACATTCTTAATGAACTAGAACAAATAGTTCTAAAATTCACATGAAACCACAAAAGACCCTGAATAACCAAAGCAATCCTGAGAAAAAACAAACCTGGAGGGATTACAGCTTCTAAGCCACAGTAATCAAAACAATTTTGTACTGGAACAAGAGCAGACCCATAGATCAATAGACAGAATAAAGAGCCCAGATATAAACACATACATATATGGCCAATTAATATAGAATAAAGGAGTCATGGCTATACAGTGGGTAAATGACAGCCTCTTCAACAACTGGTGTTGAACAGCTACACATAAGAGAATGAAACCAGATTATTGTCTAATTCTATACACAAAAGTAAACTCAAAATGGATCAAAGACATGAACATAAGCCACGAAACCATAAAACACAGGCAAAAATCTCTTGAATATAAACATGAGCAACTTTTTCCTGAACACATGTCCTCGGGCAAGGGAAACAATATTAAAAATGAACAAATGGGACTACATCAAACTAAAAAGCTTCTGTACAGCAAAGGACACCATTAGCAGAACAAAAAGGCATCCGACAGGATGGGAGGTTATATCAGTAAACAACATATCCAATAAGAGGTTAACATCCAAAATATATAAAAAGCTCACATACCTCAACACCCAAAAAACAAATAACCCTTTTAAAAAATGAACAGACACACCTCTAAAGAAGAAATTCAAATGACCAACAGTCATGAAAAGATGTTCCACATCACTAATCATCAGGGAAATTCAAGTTAAAACCACAATGGGATACCACCCCACACCAATTAGGACGGCCACTATCAGCTAGACAAGAAACAGCAAATGCTGACGGGGATGCAGAGAAAGGGGAGCCCTCCTACACTGTTGGCGGGAATGTAAATTGGTTCAACCATTGTGGAAACCAATATGGAGGCTCCGCAAAAGGCTAAAAATAGAAATACCATTTGACCCAGTAATTCCACTCCTAGGAATTTACCCGAAGAAAACAAGACCCCTGATTCAAAAAAGACATATGCACTATTATCGCAGTACTATTTACAGTAGCTAAGATATGGAAGCAACTTAAGTGTCCATCTATAGCCGAAGGGATAAAGAAGATGTGGTACATATAAACAATGAAATATTATTCAGCCATAAAAAGAAAACAAATCCTACCACTTGCAACAACGTGCATGGACCTAGAGGGTATTATACTCAGTGAAATAAGCCAGGCAGAGAAGGACAAGTACCAAATAATTTTACTCATTTGTGGAGTGTAATGATAAGGCAAAACTGAAGGAACAAAACAGCAGCAGACTCACAGACTCCAAGAAGGGGCTAGCGGTTACCAAAGGGAAGGGGTTGAGGATGGTGGGTGTTAAGGGAGGGAGAAGCAGATTGAAGGGCATAATAATTAGCACACACAATATAGGCAGGTCACAGGGAAGGAAGTACAGCACGGAGAACATAAGAAATGACTCTATAGCTTCTTACTACAATGATGGACAGTGATTGCAATGGGGTGGGGTGGGGACTTGATAATATGGGTGAATGTTGAAACCACAATGTTACTCATGTGAAATCTTCATAAGATTGTATATCAATGATACTTTGATAAAAAATTATTAAATCAATTTTTTAAAAAAAGAAACAAAATATGTGGTGTGAGAAAAATCAGTTTTCATTTTTTCAGTACTGTTCTATCTTCATACCCAGGAAGGCTCACAACTGTACAGATGCTGCTACCATATAGCATTTCAAAGACATTAACACCATCCAAATTCAGTCTTCAGATGTGTACAAAAATGACACATATACAAAGAAATAAGAATTCTTTAAGACTCTGCAAGCCAATGGTGATCCTTCTGGCTAAATCAATACTAGAATTTCACTTATAATGACAACAAATTAGATTCGCCCTTCTGTCACTAATTATTGTTTGTTCCTTTTAATAATTGTTCTAGCATAAATGCAGTTTTGATACTTAAATTACAGATGCAAGCAAATTATCCTCAGGATATAGAGCCGATATTTCCTCTTCCTAATTTGTATTTCTGTGTTTCATTTTTGAGCTTTGTAAAATGACTGGAAATCGAGGTGACTTCTTAGATTCATATAGTGGATAATATTTTATATTTATTCCAATAGCACTGACTTTCAACTGCTGTAATTTTAATCTCGCCTAAAAGTAACAATCAAAAACGATGTGAGGTGGAAAAGAAAATAAATATTTAAAATCCTTAGTTGTGGTGTACATATCTTCCTTCAGTTCAACTTCAGTGAATTTGTCATCTAATCTTTTCTAAAATGCTCGGTGGGAACTTTAGGAGGGCCCATTAGATGCAGTCGCTGCTTCATCAAACATGGGGAAAAGGCAGCTTTGTTTTTTCAAATAGGAAATGTGATTAAAAAGAAATAACCTGTGATTGATGGTTTATTATTTTTCTTGGGGCCTCTAAATTTGGTTTCTCTTCGGAATTTTTGTGCTGCTAAATTTCAGATGTGTATTTGACTAGCAGTCACTAAATTGTAGGAAATTAGTAAGGAGAGTGTTTTGAATAATTTAAATATTTTTCCAAAGGCCTAAACTTTTAAAATAGAAGAGGAATGGATCAGAGTTCATTACACAGAAAACAGGTATTCCAATTTTAAGTACTATGTGCTCAGAGGTTAACATCACTAATAGTTCAGTATTTTCAAACAAAATGTAAATTTCACAGGAAACCATCCCTGCATGGTGAGATGTAGTATACATTTGCTCTAAAAAGGAAATAAAGACACAGAATAAGAAAAAGAAGACTTGTACATGACCATAATTCCACTAAATTTGGGCATGTTTTCCATAGATTCTTCTATTCTCTCTGTCATTCTATTTTCTTTCCTTTTTTCTTTCCTCCCTCTCACCCCATTTCTTTCCTTCCTTCCTTCCTTCCTTTCTCTCCTCTGTTCTATCATCTATCTACCCCCTATTGTGTATCCGTCTATCTATATCATCTAGCTTACTGTATAAGAATCAAACAAGATCAAAACACAAACCCTGTTATAATTTGAATTTTTTCATTCAACTATATAACATGTCTTTATTTCGATAAACATTCACCATCCTTGTCAATGAATAAAGAGCATTATATTAATGGCTATGAATTCCATTTCATTGCGTGGGTGTTGTAACAGACCCTGTGAGTTGCATGCCTGCTGATTATCATCCCTTCCTTCTCTCTGAAAAGTTCTTAAATTTGTCTGGGTATCCACTCATCCACTCATCAACTGGGAAAGCTCAGAATATTATTCTATTCTCAAGGGAGAAGTTCTGATGGACTTAAAGAAATTAATGTGGTGCCAATTCCCTTTATATAGAGTGTTAGAAATGGAAATGTAACATAATTCTGGTAAATGTAATGCAACATATGGTACTTTGATTTAAATATACTGCTATTAATACATGTTATAATCATAAACTCTAGTGTATTCAGGAAAGAGTTCTAGCAGAGCACAGATAATCAGAAGAAAATTTTCACTTAATTTTTGGGGTCATGATTTGGAAGTGTAGTATCTGAAGCATTTTCAACTTTTGAGATCCACTTGCATTTTATTTTGTTATATTGTGGTTATAATTCATAATATATTTAATTGCCTTTAGGAAGCTTTAATTATTGGAAATTATAGTACTGAATGTCAATATTTGTCTAAACGTCTCAGAGATACTGATATTCTACATTAGTTTTTATAACCAAAGACACTATGATGTGTGTATAGTTGCACATACACATACACATATATATTAATAATAAAAATACACACAAATACAGTATATGTAGAGATATATATTAATAAAAGTACATACAAATACACATATATGTAGAGATATATATCAATAAAAATACACACAAATACACATATATGTAGAGATAGATATTAATATAAATACACATATATGTAGATATATATATTAATAATATAACTACACACAAATACACATATATGTAGGGAGATATATTAATATAAATACACATACACACATACATGTAGAGAAAGTTATAACTTGGATTCACAAGTCAAAAGAAGATTTTAGGCAGAACCTCAAGTGCCTGTTTTTTATGTACTGTTCTCTGCCAATGATATGTAATTCTAAATTGTTAGGCATTATTAAAGGAAAAATAATTTCCTATTATTATAGGAAAATTAAAGACTAGTTTCATTTTAAGACAATAAACATTAATTGGATTTGGATTTATATACTGAAACTAGCATAACAAAATATAGCATAATATATAAAGTTGGCAATGAAATTTTGTTGAACAAAAATAACTTTTTGTTCAGGAAAAGGAGCA